TACCAACTTTCCTAGACAGAACTCCATCAGATTGCACTTTCCACGTAACCACACAATTATTCTCAAAATCAATTTTGAAATTTTATTGAATAAATTATGAAATGAAATCTAAACGATGGAAACTATTCCTAAAGTCAAATGCCTAAATCTACCAAATTATGAAATTCCTAGATTAGGAATCTAAATTAGTAAACTAATTACAACCTAATCACAATCCTAAAAGTTAATAAAGACTTAAAAAGAAAAAATAAATTAGGCAACAATATAATAGTCAACAATTAAAATATACAAATGGGGAAAAAAATAAAATCGTAATCTATCAAAAGTAAATGATTAGAAAATCAAATCAAGGATACTTTAAATTATTAAAAAGGAAAGATAGATTACACTGAGAAAGTTGCCAATTTAAACAAATCCTATAGATTAACTCCTACCAATTAATAAGGAAAAATTATAGGAAAGTGAAGTAGAAAAAGATTTTTTTTATTAATAATATAAAGAAATAAAAAGAAAGGAATATACGCGGAGATTTAAGGTGGCAGCTACTAACTACTTTTTTTTAAATAAGAAACGAGAAAGAGAAGAAGAAAAAAAAAATGTATATTTACCTCTTTGGCTCAAAAATCTATTGATCACTCTCGCTTGTAGCACCTCCCCAGCAACGGCGCTAAAATTTAATTAACGTTCAAAAGTGTTGTTCACAAACAGTCAATTGTAGGATAGAATGGCGGTCGTATCCACAGAGAGGTAACAAAATAAATAAAAAAGATTAGCATAATAAGAGCGTTAGAGAACAAATAAATTAAAGTAAAAGAAGATTTTTGAGATTTTATTGCAAATAAAATAGAAAGGGGAAAAGATTTGTGTGAATGAAATTCAGTAGTGAAAACAATGAGGCGTCAAGAATCCCTTATGTTTCATTCACTAATTCAAGTCTTGATTCACAAATAGAAGTATCGAGTAAATTAAATCCTTACATTAAAATCAAAAAGATTATTATTACCAGTTATCCAAAATCAACAACATATCAAATTGACAATATTGCAGTAAAAGACAACTCGTAAAATAATTTAAATAACGAAAGAATACGTGACAAAATTACAAAAGAATACGTGACAGAATTACATAAGAAAAGTGTGACTGAACTTATATAAAAATTGGCACACAATATTTTGAAAAGTAAATGAAAGATAGATGGGATTTAATTCATTCGAATATTGAACATTTCAGCATAAGGAATCAAAAGCCCGAATTGGGTCACTCAACAAAAGGTCATTTCTGACCTCACCAAAAGAGCTCTAGCCTAGCTTGCAAAATATTCTCACAAGTTCTAGAGAGAAAATATGAAAGTGACAGTAAGACAACATAAAACTGAATATTAAAAACTTCTGAAAACCTTAGGCTAACCCCTATTTATAGTGTTCCGAGGTTGCTTGTCAAATAAGAAAATGAATAATCAAAAATGAAAAAAATACAAAATAAGAGGAAAGAAAATAAAATTACTCATTAATTAAGAGAAATCATATATATGATGTGAAGAGGAAATCAGGCAATTCGCAGAGAAGAAATCCGGATTCAGCACCTCATGTGGACACATGTCAAAGCTAGAATGGAGGAAAGGAAAAAGTTGCCACGTGTCGCGCGCAGAGTGGAAGAAGTGTGTTGGCGGTTGGAGACAGCTTGGACCCGCGTTGGATAGGTGGCGCGAGTGGAGAAGAGGAGAAGGCTAGCACGGAGCGAACGTGGGTCCCACGCGGAAGAGAGCTGAACACGCGCTGAAGATCGCATGGAGAGCGGACGCGCCCTGGGATGTTTACGTGCTGGCGACGCGCGCAACGCTAGATTGCGAGAAGAAGTAGGTGCGGATTTTCGCAATGACTGGTAGGGCCCACTTCATTTAGCTAGGCTAAAGGGTGGCATGGCTTTCTCTCTTATTGGCTCAGCTTGTGTGGCTCGGATTGGTTGAAAATATGACTTTCATGGCTTCTTCTTGTGTAATTTTTTACACTGGTTTTCATCTGTAAATAATTAAACAAAAACTAGACAAATTCCAATTAAAAATATTATGAATAAAAATAATGGAATTGTTTAATTAAAGCTTAAATATTTTAATATTATATAAATCAAAAGCAGTATTTAGGGTACATTTTCATGCACTTATCAATGCCATGTCAGTAAATGTTTATTTAATGTTATGAACTAATCTTTAACACATGCCACGTTAGCAAAATCCATTAAAATAATATATTGAAGTGGTTGGATGAGGCATTTTGAATGATTTTCTATATATCAGAGGGTGTTTTGAACTGTTTTGAAAAATTAAGGGGCATTTCAAAACATGGTATGTAGTTCAGGAGAATTTGTAAAAATAATCCTAAAAAAATGATAACAACACAGTATAACATGCTAGTCGATACTTGACCTCAAAATAGGATCACAAGCATACAAAGTATAACTGTATATAATTACTCAAAAATATTGTACATATTATAAATATACTAAAAAGAGCTTAGGAATACTGTACACACACAGTACACTGTTCAAACTATTCAGTATGAAATTCCTAATTTGTCCCTTCTTTTTCTTCTCTTTTTCCTCTCCTGGGTTGGGGTTATTTCTGTCTTTTCAGTATTATGTTGGGCGATTGGACGGATTTGCCCTCAATTTTTAAAGATCCCATTTGTTTGTGGTTGGTTTCAACTCTAGAAATATTTTTTCTTTTTTCATTATCTGTTTTCGAAAACCACCTAAAGTCCCAACTATAAAATGATTTTTCATTATCTCAATTGAAAGTTATGAGCCTCCCAATATCCAATAAGATATAAATTTAGAATGATAACATTGAGATTTCATTAAAAAAAAAAATCAGTGGTACAGTACCAGCAGCATCAAATTTTCAACATAAAAATTTGTGTATTTTAATTTATTTTTATGGAAATATTGTCGTTATACAAAAAAGAAAAAAAAGCGTTATATGAAAAAAATATTTTTAAGCCAAAAATTTTCATCGGTTCTACTAAATTATCATATCTTTCTTAATTTTAGATTACTATGATGTGCTCTAATAATTATAAATTATGTCTTATTTCCTTTATCTTTTAGGTTATTTATCTTTTTACCTATATTTGATGGTTATTCATAAAATATACACTTCGTTTTAGATCGTTGCAAATGTATGCCATCAATTTATATAGGCCAATGTATACATTTTCTCAGTCAATGACCAATTCGAAAATGACCAAACTATTCTCGAGGGAAACAACAAAAACAAAATCAAAAGCCCAAAAAATTCTAAATAGGAAAAAAATTAGAATATTTTAGGGGCCTCGTCGTTGGGCCCAAGAGGGTGAGGGGTTAGGTGGTTGTCAAACATCTTGGTTAGGGTAGGAAGGAGGCATTGAACATCTCGGCCATGGCGTTGAATTTGATTGGTGTTGGCATGTCGATCTCCGTGAGGAGACGGGTGTTGCGTTTGAGTACGCTTTATGAATAATCTTAAAATACAGGGACTCAACTAAATTGTTGTTTAGAATTCAAATTATAATTTAGGATTTAAATTGATGTTTGGTAGAAGATAATTTAAGGATAATTCAAATTATTAATAATGATTTAGATCTTTAGATTTTAGAATTCACCATTCCTTCTGAATTTTAACAATCTTAATGGTTTTTTTACATTGAAAATAATTATGATTCTACTTTTTATTTCTTTTCAATTTCAAGCTTAAAAATGTCATAATTTTTTCATTTTAATTCTAATTGAGATCATCTTTTTTAATGTGTGTATAATGAAGAGATGAATAAATCCTCATCTATATTACATATTTTTAGATGTCATTTACAATGAGATTTTATAAGATTTGTTACAAAACTCTAATAGCAGTTTTCAACACTTTATTCAAATATAGTTCAGATTTTATTCCAAATTCAAATTACAATTTATTTACATATCCAAACACCGTTTCGAATCACAATTCAATGTACCACAATTCAAATCACCACGCTCAAACTAAGAGCCCGTTTAGTTCATAGTTTTGAACAACAAAGTTTGAATAGAAATTTAAATTTTGTGAGAGAACACTGTAGCAAAAAAGTTTAAACAGTAGTTCGAACCTATAAAACAAACAAGGGCTAAATCAACAATTTGAATTGTTGAACAAAACAAGGCCAAAAGAATCTTGACAAATACCTTTTAAAAGTGTGTGAGTCTTAATTTTTACCTCACTCTTAATTAATACCTTTCGGGTCAAATAACTATATTAACAAAATGATACTAATTAAGAAATTAATGGTAATTTTTAACATTTTTTTTAAATACAGTTCGGATTTTATTCTTAATTCAAATTACAATTTATTTGTATATCTAAACACCGTTTTGAATCACAATTCAATGTACCACAATACAAATCACCACAACTCAAACTAAGAGCATGTTTAGTTCATAGTTTTGGACAACAAAGTTTGAATAGAAATTTAAATTTTGTGGGAGAAAATATTGTAACAAAAAAGTTTAAACAGTAGTTCAAACCTATAAAACAAACAAGGGCTAATTTAACAATTTGAATCGTTAAACAAAACAAGACCAACATAATCTTGACAAATACCCTTTAAAAGTGTGTGAGTCTTAATTTTTACCTCACTCTTAATTAATACTTTTCTGGTCAAATAATTATATTAACAAAATGATACTAATTAAAAATAAGAGGTAAAAATTTAGACGCATATATTTTTAAAAATAAGTTCAACAATTTTCTAAAAAAAAAATACAAGATATAAAAGAGATAAAAAAACCTTTTTTTCCCCTTTTTTGAAGACGTAATAATATTTTGACTAGGTTTGATCTACCGACAGTAACCCTTGAATTTGAGCCATGGAAGTAATGAAATAAGTTTTGAGGGGAGAAAAAAAGAAAAATCCTAAAATTTAGGGCAGCGGTACATAAGCAAATAAGGTAAATAAACATGGTTTAAACACACAGAGAGCTTCTCTCTCACCCTCCTCAATTGCCCAAAACGTTGGAATTAACGGACGGAGAGTAGACGGACGCCATTGGAGCCGCTTCTTTTTCTCTCTCCTCTCTCTGTGGGTTTTTTGGAGGCGCCGAACCTCTGCGTCCTAGAGAGAGGGAGTGGCGAGACATTCGTCCGTCTCCAACCTTATTTCTTCAACTCTCTCTCTAGCTTTTTCTCTCTAGAGCTTTCTGGTTCTTCTTTACATCGCAGAGAGCTGTGAAGACCTTGAGTCTTTGGCTGTGTTGGTCTTCGCTATGTGCTGCTACTCCATTTAGGTTTTACTCACCAAGGAAGAGGAGAAGGAACTTGCCGACCTTGGAGGAAAGATGTAGGTTTTTCAAAAGCCCTAATTTCCTCCCCTTTCTCTCTCTAAGTTTACTTTTTTTTTTTATTTCCTGCTATTTGTTTGCTTGCTGAAATTGATCTCGTTTGTTTGGCAAAATGTTATAAGTCTTGGACAAATTTCTACTTTGTTGTTGGTTTTTTGGTTCTTTGTTGTTGTTTTTTTGGGTTCTTTGGCATAGTTTTGATTATACCTTAGGGTTTTATTGGTGTTCAGTTTATGAATGAGTAACTAATATGATCGAGCTATATAGGGCTCTTGTTTGTCGGAGTATTTACAACCGTAAAGGCTTTGTTTTTAAGTGGGTTTGTTTTTGCATAGGTTTTCTCGTGATAATGATGTTCTTATGCATCGACAAACATTGTGTTGTAAAACTTTGTTGTGGATTTATTGAACGTCATTGTGATGGTAAAATATTTGGTTTTAGTTAGTTGTATGTTTATGTGGTACAAGACGAAGTTTCTAATAGTTTTTAGAGGGAAAAACTCCTACGGCTTTGTGGCTTTATATTGAAAATATTTACTTTAAAGTTTGAAGTTGCTTATGCGTAGTTGTTTTGGGTCAGAAAGGTGCGTTTTTGGCCGTGTCTGAATGGAACGGACAGAAAAGGATGTCGGGAATGGGAAGGACAGGGACCTGATTGGTGAAAATGGGTTCTTGAAAGGCGCACAGCCTTCTCCTAGTACTAGTGGCTCTCTCATTTGTCTCACGAGTTTCGAAGGGAAAGATGCTCTTTCTTATGCCAACATTCTCCGATCGAGAAACAAGTTTGTTGATGCGCTTGCACTTTATGAGAATGTCTTGGAGAAAGATGCTGGGAATGTGGAAGCTCATATTGGAAAAGGGATATGCCTACAGATGCAGAACATGGGAAGGCTTGCCTTTGACAGTTTTGCGGAAGCCATCAGGTTGGATCCCCAGAATGCCTGTGCACTCACGCACTGTGGTATTTTGTACAAAGATGAGGGCCGCCTAGTAGATGCTGCTGAGGTATGCAAAAATGTTTTATATGTTTTGTTGGCTAATTCATTGTGCAAAGTTATTTTTTGGAACTATTGCAGTAAATTGTACTTTCATTCAGCAAAAAGAACAGTTTTAATTCTGTAATGTATAAGATTCTTAAGCTTGTCTTAGTATTTAGGTAATGCTTTTAAGTTTTCATAATTCCAGCTTTTTGCACATTCTTGAAGATTAAGCTTGATCCAGTTTTCACCTCTAAGTTGTTTTTATACGTTCTTAGTAGTGAATTTGTACTATTCATTTGTTATACATCTGTGCTCCATATCGTTGCTTGGCTGTTAAAGATGTTTTCAAACAGTTTGCAAATTAATTTTGCTTTGAAACAGTCATATCAGAAGGCTTTAACAGCGGATCCTTCGTACAAACCAGCCGCTGAATGCCTAGCCATTGTATTGACAGATCTTGGAACCAGCTTAAAGCTTGCTGGCAATACTCAGGAGGGAATTCAGAAATATTTTGAAGCTTTAAAAATTGATCCGCTTTATGCAGTAATTTCAAACTTCTCATTTCCACTTTTCTTTCTTCCTCCCTTTTTTTGCCTTCTATTTATTCTTGTTTTGTGTACAAATATTCCTAAATATGTCAATACATTATAAATGCAGCCCGCATATTACAACCTTGGTGTTGTTTACTCCGAAATGATGCAATATGATGTGGCTCTTAATTACTATGAGAAGGCTGCATCAGTGAGGCCTATATATGCTGAAGCATATTGCAATATGGGTGTCATTTATAAGAATCGTGGTGAGTTGGAGACAGCTATTGCTTGTTATGAGAGGTAGGCCGGCGGCTTCTAGTATAAACCTGCTATTTTCTGTTTGCAATCCTTCTTGACGATCTAAATAGGGGACATGTTTATGACATTGCATGCATTTTCATGGTTCTTCAGGTGTTTGGCCGTTTCACCAAACTTTGAGATTGCAAAGAACAACATGGCTATAGCCTTGACAGACTTAGGAACAAAGGTAATGTTTCATCCTATATACTGGTTTGTAGGTCACGCACTATCTTATCTGAGTTTAGTATAACCATTTTTGTTTGCCTGTTAAAATTTTTAAACTGGCTTGAAGTTCTGCTTTTTGTTAATTGTGCCAAGAACATGGCATTCCTGGTTGCCCTGAAATTTATGTTTAAGTTACAAGCACATGAAAGCAGAAATTTGGTGAAAAATCCCATTATCAAGAAACTTCAGAATTTACCAACAAAAGTTCACATTCATGAGTCATTTGTGAGGAGGATACTCTGAAATCATGATTCGTATGTTATGGCTGGTAAAAAATTTTTTTTTTTTTTTTTTTTTTTTTTTTTTTTCCATGGAACTTGTCCAATGATCTATTCAATCAACTTGTGATCGTTTGTGACTGATATCCTTTACTATCCTATCCTTTCAACAGAAACTATTCTGCTTTCATCATATGAAACTATTCTGCCTTTGTATATCTGAGTTTGGATTCAGTTATATGTTTAGGTTAAATTGGAGGGAGACATTAATCAAGGTATAGCGTACTACAAGAAGGCTTTGTACTATAATTGGCACTATGCTGATGCGATGTATAATCTTGGAGTTGCTTATGGTGAAATGCTCAAGTTCGACATGGTAAAGAACTCAGAGAACTCTCTTAACTGGTGCCTTAATCTGATTGTTAACTTTATTAAGTCAGCGAACAAAAATGTGCAGGCTATTGTATTTTACGAACTTGCTTTCCACTTTAATCCCCATTGTGTGGAGGCATGTAATAATTTGGGAGTGATATACAAAGACAGAGACAATCTCGACAAAGCAGTAGAGTGTTATCAGGCAATTTTTTAAACCTAAACATTTTTTGTAATTTTTTTCTTTTTTTGCGTCCTATTGAGTTAGAGTGCCTGACAAAGTCATCATTGTTGTTGCAGATGGCTCTGTCAATCAAGCCAAATTTCTCACAGTCATTGAACAATCTTGGTGTTGTCTACACTGTTCAGGTTGTGTAATAACCCCCCTGATGATATGCTCTAGATGAACAAGTGACATACAGTAACTAACCTTGTTTCTATTTGCAGGGGAAAATGGATGCTGCAGCAAGCATGATTGAGAAAGCCATTATTGCAAATCCATCATATGCAGAAGCATATAATAACTTGGGTCTCTATCTTTTCCTTGCTTTCTCTGGATTTTTGTTACTTATTTCCTGCTACGTTTCTCTCTAGACAATGTTGTGCAATATTTAACTTTGTTTTGGTAGGTTGTAAAAATAGATTTTTTTTCCCGTTTTTGGAGGTTGTGGTAACCAATGTCGTTAATGTTGTTAGAGTTACCAAAGCTAGCTTTGCTATTGGATGAGAGAGACTTTTAGAGTTGTGAAATTAACTGTTATTAAGTAATTGAATTCTAAAATTCTTTTGGCTTGTTGATTTCTGCTGATTTGCTATCTCCAAGAAGGATATAAGTGAGAAAAGGAGTATGTAATCCAAAAAAAAAAAAAAAAAAATCCCCATGCTAAGCTCTACTTTCTCTGTAACTATAATGTTGAACGAAGTAATTGAGCCTCAATTACTTACTCGCACTTGTGGTTTCTTACTTCCTGTAATAGAGATTTCAGTCTTTTCATTGCTTCTTCGTACCTTTTAGTTTCTAGAAGTCGTTAATTGTCTGGTTTTGGTGTCTATTCCAGTTTTATCCCTCCTTCCCACTTTTTTCCCTCCCACTCTTTCTTAATGCTGCTTTGTTGACGGTTTAAACTTTTTGGCTGTAGGTGTTCTTTATAGAGATGCTGGCAATATTTCTCTAGCTGTGGATGCTTATGAAAGATGTCTCAACATTGATCCTGATTCTCGAAATGCAGGCCAGGTGTTGTAGCTTTTGTTTATTTAATTATGTTAGACTAAGTCTTATAATCTTATAACTTTTGGTTCTACATTTCAGGCTTTCTTGCCTGGAAAACTTGAGTGATAATTTCTGGTCACTTGGCCGGGACCTGATCAGGCGGGATGTTTTACTGTGTTGGCTTGTGTTGATACACTTTGTTGAGGACTGGGTTTAAGTTGGATGAAGTTTTATATAAACTAAATGGACAATAACATGAAAATCAATTTTTGCCAACTTTGTTTGACGCCCTAAAGTTGTGTATTGATAATCTTAAAAATTTTTGACATTGAGTTTCAACGGCAGTTTTTTCCCCCTCTAGTTGTTATTATTTACATGAGAGTAGTTATCTGTTACTTGAGAGTATGGCTTCTCTGTACCTGCTTATATTTTCTTGATCTTCCCCCTGCAGAATCGATTGCTTGCTTTGAACTATATAAATGAAGGAAATGATGATAAACTTTTTGAGGCTCACAGGTTCTTACATAGTTCCTTTTACGTTGAATTGCTTTTTCATTAATTCCTTGACCACTATTCCGATATACATATTTGTGTTCTTATGATTAAGATTAAGGTATACAATAGATGATATTGTCCAACCCACGAGCATAGGAGGTCATAAAACTGATCCAATATCTAGGTCTTTCCTTCCATGAGTTTTCTTTCTCTACTTTTGGTAATCATCTATCTACATATATTTATGAATCACTGCTGATTAAAGACATGATAGGCGGTTTCTATCTTCCTTGTGGAAGTTTACTGTGGCATATAGCACTAAATATGAGTAGAAGTTTGAAATCTTTTGTCTTTGGAAATTATGCTGCAGGGATTGGGGTAGGCGCTTTATGAGGTTATATCAACAATACACTTCATGGGACAACCCCAAGGATCCAGAGCGGCCCCTTGTGATTGGATATATATCTCCTGATTATTTTACTCATTCTGTGTCATATTTCATAGAAGCTCCCCTTTCACATCATGACTATGCGAACTACAAGGTGGTGGTTTATTCAGCAGTTGTGAAGGTATAAGCATCTTGAGTACTCATTGTCCATTTTGCTACCTGTAGTCCTATGCATTTGTATGTTCTCGTTGTCCACTGTTTGAAGTGTTTGCTAATGCCATAAAAAATTTCATTTCTACCATTGTCATTCACAACTTCAGCACTCTTAACTGCCATTGTCTACCACTGTTTGAGTGAATGCCATTGCCATTATCCTTCCTGACAAAAGCATTTCTGCTGTGCCCTGTAGTTATGGAAAGTGGTTTCACTCAATGGTTTCCAGTGAATGGACATTTGTTCTCGGGCGTTGCACCTTCATTTTATGCAACAATGCCTTAACAACATGCATATTTTTAGGTCATGCTAACGGTTTGATAGTTACCATATCTGCACCAAGAACTGACTGTAATAATAATGCTGCAGGGGGATGCAAAAACTACCAGGTTTAGAGACAAGGTGTTAAAGAAGGGCGGGATTTGGAGAGATATCTATGGGATTGACGAGAAAAAGGTTGCAAGCATGGTTAGAGAAGATAAAATAGATATCTTGATTGAACTTACCGGTCATACAGCCAACAATAAGTTGGGAACAATGGCATGCCGACCTGCACCAGTTCAGGTATGGTCGAACAGAGCTATATTTAAAATAGCATAAATCCCTAATAAAATAAAAACTAAAAGTTATTCTTATATTAATCCGCATCAACAGGTCACTTGGATTGGTTACCCAAACACTACTGGCTTGCCAACAATTGATTATAGGATTACTGATTCACTAGCAGATCCTCCTAATACAAAACAGAAGTAAGTACTTTTCTTTTTTGTTAATTATTGTCCCATATTTTCCCAAAATTTGAGTCAAATTTATAGTCTAGAGAAAGATCAGTGATACTTCCTTTTAATTTTATTATCCTATGATACAGTGCTCTTGTTAAATGACAGGCATGTTGAGGAGTTGGTTCGATTACCAGAATGCTTCCTTTGTTATACGCCCTCCCCTGAGGCTGGTTCTGTATCTCCTACTCCTGCTCTCTCCAACGGATTCATTACATTTGGTAGCTTTAATAATTTAGCTAAGGTATTGGATAGGTTGTATTTCAACTAATATTTTTCTATAGTTAAAGAGTATTGAAGTAAACCTTCAGTACTTAGACCAGTTTTTATTTAATTAATGGTCTTTTCCCTTCCCTCCATTAGATTACACCTAAAGTGTTGCAAGTTTGGGCAAGGATATTGTGTGCAGTTCCAAATTCTCGCCTCGTGGTGAAATGTAAGCCTTTTTGTTGCGATAGCGTGCGACAAAGATTTATTTCGACATTGGAGCAGCTGGGTTTGGAGCCACTACGCGTTGATCTTCTGCCTCTAATTTTACTCAACCATGATCACATGCAAGCCTATTCTCTTATGGACATAAGGTAAAATTTGAATTATTTTTCTTAAACTGGTAAGCTAGAAGTTTTTTTGATATATTGATGTATCTTCTATGAAAATTTGGCGATGTAATTAACCAATGTTATGTCTCATAGGCTTTATATTTGTGTTTTTGTGATGTAGCCTGGATACTTTTCCATATGCTGGAACAACTACAACGTGTGAATCTTTATACATGGGAGTTCCATGTGTTACTATGGCGGGTTCAGTACATGCTCATAATGTTGGTGTGAGTCTTCTCAGCAAAGTTGGTGAGCAGCTTTCTAATCCGCTTGTTAATTGTACATGGATTTTTATTAGCATAGTTTTTTGACTTGTTTTTATGCAAGCATATTTTTTGTTTGTAACGCCCAATATTTAGGGCCAGAGGGACAAATAATTTGCAAGGTTACAACACCTATCATTATTCCCCATCGTTCTACTCTCTTTTCATCCAATATATTGTAGGATAAAGATATATGACCTACGTGCAAAATTTCTCATCTGTCATCGGTCCCTTCCCCACAAGTTGGTCCACCATAGTTGGAGCTCTGGATTTTCTTTTGTTAATTCTTAGCTGCTGCAAGGCTCGACTTTTTGTTTTTGTTTATATTTTGTTCTTACTAATGTTGTCAACACGTTATTTACTTCCGTAGAATGTAGATCCTTATCGCTCTAAAAGTAAAAGTGCACATCTGATTCAGTGATATTTATATTCCGCAGGGTTGGAACGTTTGATTGCCAAAAACGAGGATGAGTACGTACAATTGGCACTGCAGTTGGCTTCTGATTTTACAGCACTATCAAATCTGAGGACGAGTCTTCGAGACCTTATGGCCAAGTCCCCTGTGTGTGATGGACCGAACTTTGCTCGCGGCTTGGAGTTGACATACCGGGACATGTGGCGCAGGTACTGTAAAGGTGATGTCCCATCTTTAAGGCAGATGGAAATGCTACAACAACATGTCGTTCCTGAAGAACCAATCACAAAAGTCTCAAAAGAAGGCCCTCCCAATTCTATTAAGAGCAATGGGTTTAATGTCGCTCCACCCTCAACGCATCTGTCCAGTGGTGAAGAAAATGGAGTTTAGTCCACTGCAAACCTTAAAGCGAGCTGACCGAAACCAAACCTGATCGTTAAAGATCTGAGGCTTTGAGATTTGGGAGATGGGTTTGGTCTGGACTTGTAGTCATCTTGTTGGGTTGCAGAGAACACCTCAAGTACCTAAACTGTGTCTGTTGCAATTGAAGCTGGTTGATATATCGCCGTAACTGTCGGTTTCATTACTTAAGGTCACATTCTTTTGAGTAAACGGTGCTGACAAGGAGTCAGCCTGATATCTGGCTGCATGAAAAAGAATTAAGAAACAGAGGATTGGAAAAGACCAGAAGCTATAAGTTGATATTTTATATAGCTGATTTTTACTGAACACTAGGATTGGTATTTGTAAATCATTAGGTGAATTTTATTTATTTAAAGGCTGCATTTTATTTTTGATGAAATGGCATTATTTGTGAAATTGTGTGCATTGCGTGTTTAGGAATTGTCGTTTGTGAGACGCTGCCTTTCTTTTTTTTTTTTTCAGTGGTTACCGTTGTCTTTTCGCTCATACTGTTGTCGTTTCTTGCGCCTTCAGTGTTACATGAGTCAAAATCAACACTATTTGTGTAATTTGTGCGAAAATCCAAGATGGTTGCCTATTCTCTACTTTTGTCTTATGAGTGTCCCTTAAGTTATACTTTTTTGGATTAATTTTAAAAAATTCTCTCAATTATGACCCTTTTAACATTTTATCTCTTGAATTTTAAAAAGTAATATCCGTTCTTATTTTATTTTGTTAACAAGTTTTATCTTTTTGTTATAATAAGTGATAGAAATCGTCACATATCAGATACATAATCTATCTGAAGAGAGTATTATCGTAAATTAACCTGTAACAAGCCTAGATTATTAAGGGTTCGTTTGGTATGAGAATTTAAATTATGGTGATTCTAATCATGATTTTGAAATCAGAACCATGATTCATGATTTTGGGTTCAAATCATGATTCTAAAACAATGATTCAGAATTAAAGAATTAAGGGTTTGAATCACCTTGAATCAAGAGGGAGGTGGTTTTAGAATCATGAGTGATTCTGGTTTAAAACATCACATCAGATTCTAAATCATCCAAACTAAATATTGATTTAGAATTACTATAAACAAACACTGATTCTGAACTAAGATTCAACATTATGATTTTGGATTCATCTACCAAACGAAATATAAAAAAAAAAAAAAAAAAAAAAACTCAAATGTGTTAAAAAAAACCCCCATTTTAACACAGTTATTTGAATTCTCCAACCGGAGACCAATCTCCCACAGATCAAAACCAAGATCAAAACCAATATGAAAAATATAAATGATTCCAACAAAGAAAATGAAAAAAAAAAAAAAAAAAAAACCTTGAATTTATCGTTTGTATTTAGGATATTTATTTGTGATGTTCAATTTCTATCCTCCAAAGATATTGCATTAGCTGGACAAACCATTTGACAAGGCCTTGAGCAGTCAAGAGGACAATCGTCAGGATCAAATTCTGTTAAGAAAGCAGATCATAAACTTAGAACTCATTTTGCGTTCATTCTTAGCCTAAGTTGGTTTTGGAAGAAAAAACAAGCTTGTTCTAAAGTTTATAACAAATCCCAAGACATACCAGCCTTGCGAAAATGAAGATCTTCATCATCATTAACATTGATCATGACCCAAGGCCTTGGAAGATGAAAAATCTGTGGCTGCTTCAATTCTCTCGTTCATCACACTCACAATTGATGCATCAGCAACACAGTTTAAAAGAGAAAAACTTATTTTTCTCAGTGTAAACAAGAGAGAGATTTCTGATAATGTCGAATATTTGAGCAGTTTGTTTAGGAAAATGTCGAAAATGAAAAGAGGAAAGAATTATATATAATTTCAAAAATGAAGAATTATTTACTAGAAGGGTATAAGCGTAATTACACTTTCAATTCTCATTAAATAAGTGACACGTAACGATTTCCATCACTTATTATAACAAAATGATAAAATTTGTTAACGGAACAAAGTTTGAGATAAATATATATTACTTTTTAAAATTCGAGAGGTACAGTGTTAAAAGGGTCATAGTTCGAGAAGAATTTTAAAATTAATCCTACTTTTTGCTAAGATTTATTTTTTTATTTTTTATTTTTTAAAGTACTCTAGCACCTCTTAGGCGATTTGAACATTTGATTTAACCTTGATATATGAACAGAGGTTTCTGAATTGTGATCTAAACTAGCGCTTTGTACGAATATATAATAAAGTAAAATTGGTAATAAAATTTCAATGTTTATTTATATAGTTAGAAAATAAGGGTTTGAATTATGAAAAAAAGTCAGTGTAGAGGGACGTTTTAGTTTGTTTAATACCATCTCACATATATATTAGACTAATTTTGGGGAGGTTTCAACTTTCAAATCCTTAAATCATGAGTTTGAACCGGATTTTAACATTCGAACCGCACCCTTTTTGTCTATTCCAAGCATTACTCCAGATTAGATTTGCTCTTCACGTTGAAACCAAGAAAAATTCTTACCACCCTAAATCATGTGGTTAAAAGAAAATATGAAAAAGAAACTGCCGGTAAAACAGTTGGAAGTATAATTCGTAAATCTACATCTCCCAGCTCTAAGTTTCTTTAAGCATACCCAAATACAGGGGCTTAAACATACACTTTGGTTAAATCCTTAGAAACTAAAACCAAGTGCTTGACTGCACAAGGAAACAGGCTTAATAGTGCAGAGAGCAGCTACATGTCTCTAATCTTTCACGACAGTCCGTAGAATCTTTACTTCATGAATGGGTCTGCATTGGCCCAAAAAAACGCGTGTCAGAGCAAAAAACTAACAATGGCACTTCTTCAAGCTTTGTACAATTAGCATTTAGGAGATGATGAAACAGTTGGAGCTTAATTGCACACAGAAAAGCTATTCAATGACCTCTACTACACCATCAAATATGATGAAATATGAAAGTGTCAGCATTGGATTATTGCCAAGGGTGTAGGACACCAACTTTATAACGTCCTGTTCGATGATCGATTCTCTGGGAGGAACCAGACTAAAAGAGCTATTTAGTATTCAAAATTTCAGATTCTGAACCTTTGGTTCTTTTGGTACCTTCAATCGTCCCCACAGATATTGATTATTCTCAACTTTTTCACACGCGCGCACACAAAAAAAAAAAGAAAAAGAAAAAAGAAAAAAGAGTATAATAACGTAAAACAATCAGATATGAGATTTGCAAATGTCACCTCTAACCTATTATGAACCAAACCCCACCAATAAGTACATCAGCGGAAGACATACCTATCATTATTATCAGTCTGGACGCTCCCAAGTCTTTTGATGATTTCCATCCCTCTACATACTCTTCCAAAGATTGTGTGCTTTCCTGGATGACACAAATATTGGATAAAGCATTATTAGCACATAATACCTTTCTGCTACTATACATACTGACATGTGACAAACATTAACTAGAAGAGAAAAGTTGTAGTTTTCATTCACATGAAAGCTCATTTATCGACAAAAATTTGATTCACAGCCACTGAAGAAATGAAACAAAAATAGTTGAACGCTGATAGTGAGAGAAGGCATAATTTCCTCGTGATGAGATTCATGACTATTTTATTATTATTATTTATTTTTTATACAACACGGGATTGAATCCGCAACTCCCCAACCAAACCCCCCAGTGCCACAAGACCAAGAGGTCTTAGGCGATGAGATTCATGTCTATTTAGACATCATGTATGGTATTTAGCTTTTAAGCTCTCTAGACATCATGTACGGTATTAGGCCTTATTCATTTCACCGATTCGAGTTTTCAATTCTGTTGGAATATTTGCTTATTTTGAATTTAAGGAAAAATGTGTACAACTGTACAATTGTAGATTATGGGAGATTTTGGGTAATTTCCTAATTGATATAGGAATGCCTGATTTGTAGGGGCTTGACTAGGAAGATCCTAGAATATTTTATGTTTAATTTTCTGATTTTGTGTACAGGGATAAATATACCCTAACATGTAACGTTTTTATTGAATCAATAGAATTCCTCTACCGCCTTCATGGTATCAGAGCCACGACTCTGGGAATTCTAACTTTTTTCTGCCTTCATAGCCATTGGTGTTTCAATTTTCTGGCTCACTTATGAGGCCTTAATTGCCGCTTCATCTCTCACTGATCTTTCCGCTCCTGTTTTTCCTTGGTCTCATAATTCTTGAACCAAAATCAACATGTCTGAAGAATCCGGAACAGTTGTGTCGAGGGCAACTGAACAAAGAACGGAAACTGTTGTTCACAAGGCCATTGGAGAGCTTCAAACAGTTCAGGCTACAGTTCAGGCTACATACAAACTCAACGGGAAGAATTATCTCCAGTGGTCTCAATTTGTGAGAACCTCACTAAAAGGGCGCGGAAAATTGAGCCACCTTCTTGGAACCGGACCCGATGCAAGTGATCCGAAATTCACGGCATGGGATGAACAAGACTCACTGATTATGTCTTGGCTGTGGGACTCAATGATCCCTGAAATCAGTGGGACTTGTATGTGTTTATCTACTGCCAAGGAGATTTGGGAGGCAGTGACGTACTCCAAGGTACGTGATGCTGCACAAATTTACAGAATCAAGATGAAGATTACAGCCACCAAACAAGGAACTCGGACCGTCACAGAGTATGCGACATTCTCAAAAGCCTTTGGCAGGAGATGGACCACTACCAGAACTTGAGAATGAAGTGTAGTGATGATACTGCAATACTCAAAAAGTTTATTGAGAGAGAAAGAATCTTCGATTTTCTCGTTGGTCTCAATGTCGAATTTGATCCTATTCGGGTTCAAGTCTTAGGAAAAGAGGAATTGCCTTCACTAAATAAGACCATCTCTACTATTATTGCTGAAGAAAACAGAAGAGGGGTCATGCTTGAGCCCTAATCAGTTGAAGGATCGGCTTTATTAACACGTCGTATAATGGAGGACAAATCGAAGAACAATGGAGAGAAGACTTCGGCTGCAAGCACTGCAAATTCTGAAACCAGCAGAACCGATTCCAGGCCTGCAAACAAGGACAACCTATGGTGCACATATTGCACACACCAAAGAAAACTGCTGGAAATTACATGGCACAGTTCAAACTGGAATAGAGGATCAAGAAACGGGCAGCAGTGAGGGCAAGCACATATTTCTCAATCTAATGAGAATGCAGCCAATGATGGATCAAGTTCCAGTGGCGGAGAGAGAAGCGAATTCAACAGAGATGACATTGGAAGGTTGAGATCACTTCTCGATTCACTTGAAACTCCAGGTATCTGTTCCTTGGCACACTCAGGTAAACTTCTCCTCTCACATGCTCTAAGTGTCTCAGATTGTAACCTTTCCAGCTCTTGGGTCGTTGACTCGGGAGTGACCGACCATATGACACACCAAGCACACAAATTCCTCACATATAGCCCATGTCCCAGTAGTAGGAAATCACGATTGCTGAATGGATCTATGGCCACTGTGGCCGGCAAAGGAGATATCAAACTAAGCCCATCATTAACTTTGAGAAATGTCCTACATGTCCCAAAGCTCTCCACCAATTTGTTGTCTATTCACCAACTCACAAAGGAATTAAATTGCAGGATCTTATTTTCTTCTGATTCGTGTATATTTCAAGACTAGGTTACGAGGAGAATGATTGGACGTACTAAGGCATGGACTTTACCATGTTGAGTTGCCAGGTGACAAAGGGATTCCACAACCTCCATCTTTTTTGTCAAATCAGTCCTCTCACAATAAAGACCAAATTTGGCTTTACCACCTTCGACTTAGTCATCCGTCTTTTACTGTTCTTAGCGTTATGTTTCCATCTTTGTTTAGGGGTGTCAATGTAAAAGATTTCCACTATGATGTGTGTGAGTTTGCTAAACATTGACGTGTCTCCTTTCCTTTAAGCAATAACAGAACTTCAATTCCTTTTTATTTAATCCATAGTGATATTTGGGGTCCGTCCCGAGTTCATAACATTTCAGGAGCTTGGTGGTTTGTCTCTTTTATTGATGATTGTAGTTGGGTGACATGGCTTTTTCTACTTAAGCAAAAATCTGATGTGAGCACAATTTTTCCTATTTTCCATAATATGGTGAAAAATCAATTTGGCACGAGTATCAAAAGAATACGAACAGATAATGCCAGGGACTATTTTAATCAAACACTCTCTCCTTACTTTCAAAAGGAGGGAATGATTCATGAGTCCTCATGTACTGAAACACCCCAACAAAAGGGGTCGCCTAAAAGAAAAATGGCCACCTTTTGGCAGCAACCCGTGCCCTTCTACTGCATCTCACTTGATAAAATCACATTCCTTCCCGAGTTCTTGACTTCAAAAGTCACAATGGAAGTTTTTTCCAAGTTCTACCCAAATTTCAACACGTCAACTAAATTGGTTCCTAAGGTCTTTGGATGTGTTTCATTTGTCCATGTACATGCTCATAGTAGGGGTAAACTGGATCCTAGGGCAGTTAAGTGTGTCTTCATAGGTTATTCATCCACCAAAAAGGGGTACAAATGCTACCATCCTATGACTCGAAAAACCTATGTCTCTGCTGATGTCACATTTGTTGAACAAGAAAGCTATTTCTCTCATCCTTATCTTCAGGGGGAAATAACATCTATGGAAGATAAGGATTTGTTCTTGTGTGAACCACCGGTTTGTCCTCCTGAGTCTACTATACAATCTGAGTCTTCTGTGGAATCCACCATTGAGCCTATTTTTGACCCATCTGCCTTTAATTCCGAGCTAGATAACCCTATCCAAAACAATCGTGAAGTTCCGTCTCCGACAATGAATCAAATAAGCACAAAACCGCTGCAAGTATACTCAAGGAGGCAAGCTCCCATAGCCCATCCTGTGCAAGTCCGAGAGTCCAACTCCACACTTGGTAATGAGGTAATTTCTTCCTCTATTGGTGCTTCACCCACAATTCATGATCTTGAGCTACCAATAGCTGTAAGGAAAGGTGTTAGACAATGCACACAACACCCATTATCCCACTTTGTATCCTTTGAAAAATTGTCGCCCACACACTATAAATTTCTCACACATCTAAACACCATAGCCATACCCCAAACTATATATGAGGCACTTAGCAATGATGAGTGGAAGTGTTGGGATCCTAGCCTCTACTGATACCGTTAGCTAGCAATTAGTAGACGAGAATTGGCTAGAAGTCCTTTTTATTGAATTCAAACTATTTCTCCAGCAACAAGAAGCTTTAATCGTAGCTCTTGAACTTCAGAAATGGAAGAAATTACAGGAAGAATTACGAAAAGGAAATGCATGAAAGAAGTAAGATAGAGGGGGATTTTCGAGGAATCCCACAACCTCCCAGTATCAATCCAGCACCAAATTCTTCATGTCCTCACCCTCCTCGATGCTCCCCTTAAAACACTCATCCTCTAACCAATTCGCACGCCTCCCCGTAACGGCCTCCTAGCTGGCTATGTCCCCATCCCTGGGCTGATCCATCTCCACTGAGCCTAGCCCATCCTGAACCATCTCATTTGGGCCTGGGCCCGTCCCTTTACCACTCTTGGCCCTTCTAACGTAGACTTTCCGAACCAGAGGTCTAACATCACTCCCCCCTTCGAAGACAACCTTGTCCTCAAGGTTGTAGTAAGGAAATTGTGCCTGGAACATATCCAGCAACTCCCACGTAGCCTCCCAATCCTGTAGACCCTTCCATTTAACCAAAACTTCTGCCACTCTCTTCCCGCCCAAGGAGGTCCACCGGCCCCGGATGACTTCGGCAGGTTCAACCTGTAGCTCCAACTCATCCGAGAGTTGAGGGGGAAGAGGCTGACACCGGGAGTCACTGCCCTTGAATGGTTTTAGCTGGGAAACGTGGAAAACCGGGTGAATTCTTGCTTCTGCAGGTAGCTGAAGGCGATACGCTACCTCGCCTACCTTCTCCAGTACCTCGAAGGGGCCATAAAAACGGGGGGCTAGCTTCTCATTCGGCCTCCGTGCCAAGGACTTGAGGCGGTAGGGCCGCAACTTGAGGAGAACACGTTCCCCAGGAGGGAAGGAAAGCTCTCGACGATGAGCATCGGCAAACCTTTTCATACGCTGTTGTGCTAGCATTAAATGTCCCTTAAGAACATCCAGGAACTCATTCCGTTGCTGAAGTTGTTGGTTGACATCCTCCACTGCCGAGGGAGAGTCCTGGAATCTAGAAACTGTAGGAGGATCCCGCCCATAGACCACCTGAAAAGGGGAGCGCTTCGTTGAGGCATTATAGGTGGTATTGAACCAGAACTCGGCCCACGGCAAATACTGGAGCCACCAGCGAGGTTTGTCACTCACGAAACAACGGAGATACACTTCGATACACCTGTTCACGACCTCAG